GGGGGGGTGGGGTGGAGAGTTCTACCTGTTAAGCCCCGCTTTATTCAGCTGGAGTTGAGTAGAAATGCAGATTGATTTGTAGAAACCTAGTATTTATAATTTACAGAAATCAAGATCCATCCTGCAGGATGCTACCAAGTTTGCAATGAGGTAAATGGAGAACTAGAGATGTCAGCGGAGTTCAAAAGGATGCAAGCAGAATGATAGCACAGGTATTGGAGGGATTTTATGCTGCTTTGTGCTTTCCCCTTCAGCCAAGGAAGTACAATCTCTTTGTATTGGATTTATGAGGCTATCAGCAGTGTGCTAGGGGGGCAAAAAGTGAAATGAAGGTTCACTGAAATTGATCCATGGAAAAGACTTAATGACCTCTTTTGCCATTTGTGGACATTTTTATGATTGTACTCCATCCTGTAACTCACACCAGGGGTCTATTATTATTATATGTCAGCACTTTAAAACAGAGAGCAAAAATGTTCTTTTCCCATAGGGTTGTCAGGCACCAAAGTCAATGATTGGACCACAGACCACATCATTTAAGAATAGATTAAGTAGGTACTTGAACGGAAACAGTATAACCCAAATGAGATAAGGGAAAAGGATAGACAAATAGGATTAGGGATACAGCTGATGCAGAGAATAAATGTAAAAAACAGACAGATAACTCCAACAGCTTGTTGCCTGGTATAATTTCTGTTACATTCTATGTAATAAGATTCCAGCCATAGAGCTATACAGGACTGAAACAGATCGTTTGGTCCAACTCGTCCATGCCGACCAGATATCCTAAATAAATCTAGTCCCATATGCCAATATTTGGCCCATTTCCCTCTAAGCCCTTCCTATTCATATACCCATCCAGATGCCTTTTAAATGGTGTATTTGTACCAGCCTCCTCCACTTCCTCTGGCAGTTCATTTCATACATGTGCCACCCTCTGAGTGAAAAAGTTACCCCTTAGGTCCCTTTTAAATCTTTCCCCTCTTACCTTAAACCTATGCCCTCTAGTTTTGGACTCCCCCACCCTAGGGAAAAGACCTTGGCCTTTTACCCTATTCATGCCCCTCTTTATTTTATAAACCACTATAAGGTCACCCCTCAGCCTCCGATGCTCCAGGAAAAATAGCCATAGTCTATTCAGCCTCTTCCTATAGCTCAAATCCTTTAACCTTGGCAACATACTTGTAAATCTTTTCTGAACCCTTTCAAGTTTCACAACATCCTTCCTATAGCAAGGAGACCAGAATTGCATGCAGTATTCCAAAAGTGGCCTAACCAATGTCCTGTACAGCTGCAACATGACCCCCCAACTCCAATACTCAATGCACTGACCAATAAAGGCAAGCATAACAAACGCTGCCTTCACTATCCTGTCTACCTGCGACTCTACTCTCGAGGAACTATGATCCTGCAGTCCAGGATCTCTATGCTCAGCAACACTCCCCAGGACCTTCCCATTAAGTGTATAAGTCCTGCCCTGATTTGCCTTTCCAAAATGCAGCACCTCACATTTATCTAAATTAAACTCCATCTGCCACTCCTCGGCCCATTGGCCCATCTGATCAAGGTCCCATTGTACTCTGAGGTGACTCTGTTTGCTGTCCATCACACTCCAATTTTGGTGTCATCTGCAAGCTTACAAACCATACCTCCTATGTTCACATCCAAATCATTTATATAAATGACAAAAAGCAGTGGACCCAGCACCAATCATTGTGGCACTCTGCTGGTCACAGGCCTCTAGACGAAAAAGCAACCCTCCACCACCACCCTCTGTCTTCTTCCCTCAAGTCAGATCGGTATCCAAGTGGCTAGTTCTTCCTGTATTCCCTGTGATCTAACCTTGCTAACCAGTCTACTGGTGTGTTTGGTTGCAGACGTTTCGTCACCCTGCTAGGTAACATCGTCGGTGCACCTCTGGCGAAGTGTTGATATTCTGCCCTGTTTGTTATTTATATGCCTCGGTTTGCTGGGGTGGTTGGCATTACTTCTGGTTCTATTCTTCAGTGGCTTGTATATCGGGTCCAGTTCAATGCATTTGTTGATGGAATTCTGGTTGGAATGCCAGGCCTCCAGGAATTCCCTGGCTTGTCTCTGTTTGGCTCGTGCTATTATGGATGTGTTGTCCCAGTGAAATTTGTGTCCTTTCTCCGTGTGTATTGAGACCAGTGAGAATTGGTCGTGTCTCTTGGTGGCTATTTGGTGTTTGTGTATCCTTGTTGTCGGTTTTCTTCCAGTTTGGTCTATGTAATGTTTCTCACAGTCCTTGCATGGTATTATGTTAGTTTTATTGGTTGTGGATATGGGATCCTTTACATTCATCGGTAACTCACAAACCAACAATCACTCTGCAACAGCTGACTACTGACGAACGTAAAGGATCCCGTACCCACAACCAATAAAACTAATGTAACATACAAAATACCATGCACGAACTGTGAGAAACATTACATAGACCAAACTGGAAGAAAACTGGCAATAAGGATACACAAACACCAACTAACTACCAAAGACACGACCAATTCTCACTGGTCTCAATACACACGGAGAAAGGACACAAATTTGACTGGGACAACACATCCATAATAGCACGAGCCAAACAGAGACATGCCAGGGAATTCCTGGAGGCCTGGCATTCCAGCCAGAACTCCATCAACAAACACATTGAACTGGACCCGATATACAAACCACTGAAAAACAGAACTGGAAGTAATGCTAACCACCCCAGCAAACCGAGGCATATAAATAACAAGCAGGACAGGACACCAACACTTCACCAGAGGCGCACCGACGATGTTACCTAGCAGGGTGACAAAACATCTGCAACCAAACACACCGGCTCAGCGAGTAAGTCTGCAACCTCACCCACAACCCGAGCTACAAATCTTCTCAAAAACTTTAAACCAGTCTACCATGACGAACCTTGTTGAACGCCTTACTGAAGTCCATATAAATCACATCCACTGCTGTGCCCTCATCAATCCTCTTTGTCACGTCTTCAAAAAACTCAACTGAGTTAGTGAGACACAATTTCCCACACACAAAACCATGTACTATCCCTAATCAGTCCTTGCCTTTCTTAGTACATGTAATTCCCTCAGGATTCCCTGCAACAACTTGCCCAGCTCAGTGGTCAGGCTCAGTGGTCTATAGTTTCCTGGCTTTTCCTTACCACCTTTCTGAAATAGTCGCACCACGTTGGCCAACCTCAAGTCTTCCGGCACCTCACCTGTAGCTATCGATGATGCAACTATCTCAGCAAGGGGCCCAACAATCACATCCCAATCTTCCCACAGAGTTCTAGGGTACACCTGATCAGGTCCAGGGGATTTATCCACCTTTATGTGTTTTAAGACACCTAGCACCTCCTGCTCTGTAATATGGACATTTTTCAAGATGTCGCTATTTATTTCTGCAAGTTCTCTAGTTTCTATGTCCTTCTCCACAGTAAACACTGATGCAAAATACTCATTTAATATCTCCCCCATCTCCTGTTGTTCCATACATAGATGGCCTTGCTGATCTTTAAGGGGCCCTATTCTCTCCCTAGTTACCCTTTAGTCCTTAATTTATTTGTAGAATCCCTTTGGATTCTCCTTAACTGTATTTGCCAAAGCTCTCTTATGTCCCCTTTTTGCCCTCCTGATTTCCCTCTTAAGTATATTACTACCACCTTTATACCCTTCTCGGGATTCACTCGATCTCTGCTGTCTATACCTGACATATGCTTCCTTCTTATTGTTGGCAAAAACCTCAATTTCTGTAGTTATCCAGCATTCCCTACTCCTACTAGCCTTGTCCTTCACCCTAACAGGAACAAACTGTCTCTCTCGACTCTCATTATCTCATTTTTGAAGGCTTCCCATTTTCCGGCTGTCCCTTTACCTGTAAACATCTGCCCCAATCAATGTTTGAAATTTCTTGCCTAATGCCATCAAAATTGGCCTTCCACCAATCTAGAACTTTAACCTTTAGATCCGGTCTATCCTTTTCCATCACTATTTTAAAACTAATAGAATTATGGTCATAGGCCCCAACGTGCTCCCCCACTGACACCTCAGTCACCTCAGTCACCTGCCCTGCCTTATTTCCCATGAGTAGATCAAGTTTTGCACTTTCTCTAGTGGGTACATCCACATACCGAATCAGAAAATTTTCTTGCACACACTTCACGAATTCCTCTTTATCCAAGCCCTTAACACCATGGCAGTCCCAGAGTATGTTTGGAAAGTTAAAATCCACCTGTAACTAACTCATGGCTATCCATTTTTTATAAATGAGGTGAACTGTTCTCGTCAGTAACTTACTAGCAGGTATCCATTATATATAAGCCATCCAAACCCCTCCATTAGATTGCAAGTCTGTAACTCAATTCTGGGTATCCATTATTCTGTATATAAACCATTTGAACCCAACAACTAAATTCCAGCCTGTAGGTCACCCTAGGGTATCCATTATTCTACACATAAACAATGTGAATTGCTGGGTTGGATTCCAGTCTGTAACTTACTCCTGGGTATCCATTATATATAAGCCTTGCTGCCAGGTATCCAAATTTCAGTTGCTGAGCTGGGTAACTGTGATGCTGAATAACTACATGTCAGGGGTCTGACTGCTTGTTACTGTAACTGTATACGTAGGGATGCACTGAAGTGGTGACCAGTGCCTGGCAGTCCTACTGCACTTACAATCAGACACTCCTGTTTTAGGACTAGCTGGGAGAGGCAATCAAAAGGTATATTTCTCCACTTTATAGTTCTTTGGTTAATTGCCAACAATGTTTCTGTTGTTACAATGGAAACCTGTATGTCTGAAAAGGAGAGTTTAATAATTCCATTGAGAGTTAAATGGGGGTTAACATTGGACATTGAATGGGTGAGATAGTTTGATAAATAGAGTGGCATTTCTTCCTCTTAACTGAGCATTCAGTCTGGTTTCTCATCTTCTATTTGCTGTTTTTTAATCTCACAGTGACTTTCTTCTTGCCCTGCACTTTCCAGATGCTTCAGCCACAATTCAAACCCCATGACCTGAAGGACGTTTTGTCTAAACTCTTCCTCACTGTGCCCGGAGAGAATCCCTACACCTCGTGGAACCGTTCTCGCTGTCGGCGCTGTGCGGTGGTGGGGAATTCTGGAAACCTCCATCATTCTCACTACGGAGCAGACATCAACTCACATGATTTCATCATGAGGTAAGCTGTGAAGGTGAAGGAGATCCTTACTAACTATTCTTACAAATTCCTGGTGAAATATCAGGCGTCACATTCCGCAGTGAGATAAGGAAATAGCTTGAATCCGCGGCAAAATGAAGAAATTGAAATAAAAAGCAAAAATGTTGGAACGCTAGGCAGGTTCATCAGCATCTGAGAGAGAATAACAACTTTGATTTTTGAATGCAGAACCGTCACCTGAATCTCACTTTCTGTCAACTGCTATATTTTTCAAACAATTTTTTTTCCTTTTACTGTCATATCTCAGTGTATAGGATGGGAAATGGAATAAGAAAAAACCCACCAGCTCCCCTGGTTTGCCTATACCACCTGGGTGCTAATAGGATACAGCAGTAATAATTGAGTTATTGATTAATCACAGCCAGCAATCTCTAATTATTAGTCTACAATGTGACATCATTATCATATGTTACATCTCAAATTACTGGCATACTGTTTCCCAGCATGTTAATACTATATCTGAAACAAATCTAACTTTCCTTTGTATAATTCAATACAAACTGCTCCACCATCTCCTTAATAAGGGATTCTAGTATAGGGCTTACTGACCAACCTGCCACTAAAATATCAGGTCAGATTTTGCTTGCTAGTTTTTCTTGCTTTTACACCTTCAGAGAATTTAAAATCTTTGCCTATTCAATTGTTGGAAGTGTGGGCATCTGGGGAACAACAGGGCAATTAGTTTATGTCCTTCATCAATGAGGGTTAAGGATTGAGAAATAGAGAGTGGTCAAAGAAAGAGGGTGAATTCATGTGAATATGTGAATGATTTCACTCTTAAATCAGGCACAAAAAAAAATGGGAGAGAGAAGAAAGGTTAGATTAAGAATGAGAAAACAAAGGGACAAATAAAAGTAAGAAAAAAAAGTTCAATTTTAAAAAGTTCATTTTAAAAACTCCAACAGTTCATAACCTGAAAGAATGAAATTCCACACTTCAAATTGTTCACTTTTTGGACCAAAGAGGTTGCTTGGCAGATATTAACAACCATCATATTGTTTAAAGGGCAGCTGTGCTGTTAACTTTGTCTGGCAGGTTTCATTGATGTCCAATGTCCCAATGCAGATGTTCTTGAAAACCGCAGGAGAGTTAAAGGTGAGAAGCTATTTTCCCAAAAACTAACAGTGAAGCAGAGTAAAGCATCGAGGCACCTGTGGCAATTTGCAGTTGTAGGGGCATTGCTTCCTCACTACAAACGTGCCCTGTTTGCATGTTAATGAGACAGTAGGTCACCGTTACTTTTTAAGCAAATTCTAGGCCGTTGTTCCAATGGACCAGTTGTGAATTTTCCCCTTTAAGGCTCAACTGTTCTGGACAAGTTGAAACAGCACTCACTTCTCCCTTTGAAATCGTAAAAAAGCAGTAACCATATCACATGCGAATGGGATCAAGGGGCTGAATGCCCTGGGCCTGTTTAAATTTGAAGCTTTCCTCTGTTTCACTACTGAAGAAATGACTCTGTAAAGTTCGGTGCTTTTATCCACACAGAATTAGGAGCAGAAGTAGGCCATTCAGTCCCTGCTATTCAGTAAATCACAGTTATTCTATTTATGTTTTGAAATTTACATTCACATCCACCTTTGATTCCCCTGCCTAACAAAAAATTTTCTACCTCTGTCTTAAAAAATATTTCCTGACCCTGCCTCTGCTGCATTCTGAGACAGACAGCTTCAAGGTAGCACAATCCTCAGAGAAAGAAAAACATTTCTCCCCAGCTTGGTTCTGAAAGGATGACCCCTAATTCTAAAACAATGCCCCCTACTCTGCAGTGATCCACAAGGGAAAATATCCTTTCCCTGTCCACTTTGTCAACACTGTTCAGGAACTTATAATTTTCAATCAAGTCACCCCTCAGCGTTCTAAACTCCAGTGGAAACAAGGAAGACAAACAGGAGGCTGGAAAAACACAGCAAGCCAGGCAGCCTCTGGAGGAAAGGAGCAGTCAACGTTTCAGGTATTACCCTTCTTCAGGACTCTGACTAAACCCCAATGGAAACAAGCCCAGCCTGTCCATCTTTCCTTGTAAGACAACCCATTCATTCCACGCATCATTCAAGTCAACCCTCTCTGAGCCACCTCCAAAACATTTACATTCTTACAGTCTCACAATGGCTCTGAATAACTGAATCATAACATCCTTACTTTTATGTTCAATTCATCTCATATTAATGGAGGGCATCCCATTAGCCTTTTTAATTTCTTGCTGTACCTGCGCACGGTCTGTGATACATGTGCTGGAATACCTAGATCCCTCTGCACCTCAGAATTCTGCACTCATTCTCCGTTTAAACAATGCTGTGTTTTACCCAGCCAAAGTGAACAACTTTACATTTTCCTACATTATACTCCATCTGCTAGATTTTTACCTCCTTAACCTGTCTATGTTACATACTCCTCTTGCCCTGTTCACAACATATTTGCCTTCCTATCGTTGTGTCATCTGCAAATTTAGCCCATTTTGATGCTCTCATTAAATCATTGATTTAATTATAAAATGCAGAGGCCTCAGCACAGACCCCTGCGGGACTCCATTCATCGCAGCCAATCAGAAAAAGACCCATTTATCTGTTTTCTGCCAGCCAGCCAATACATTATTCATGCTACTTCATTACCCCACCTCCCCTAACCATACTATGAGTGCCTATTAAAGGTAAGTACAAGACCCCTTTTATACACAGTATCTCAGTTCTTCAAAGAATAACTGTAACCTCAATAATGATAGATTTTGACACTGAACCCATCAAGCTAATTGGCCCATAATTTAATATTTCCTGCCTCCCTCTGTTCTTGAAAAGTGTGGTTATATTTGCTGCTTTCCTGTCTGATAGAACTTTTCCAGAATCTAACAAATGTTAGAAAATTAACATTAACACAGATACTACCTCATTAGTCAGTTTTTTTAAGATCCTAGGCTGAGGTCCATCAAGTCCCAGAGACCTGTCAGCTCACATCTCCATCAGTTTGCTTATTATCACTCCCTGTAATTTTACCAAGCTCTTCTTTCCCTTCCACTTCCTAATTTACAGCTATTTCTGGGATCTTTCTTGCATTCTCTTTACTGAAGACAGAAGGAAAATATTTGTTCATTACATCTGCCATTTCTTAATATCCATTGTTACCACTCTATTCTCACTCTCTAGAGGATCAGCATTAAATTTACTTATTGTTTTCCTTTTTAAATACCTGCATCATCTGACCTGAATTTCACCTTTGTCCAACAGATGCTTTTCCCTTGAATTGGATGGTTTGCTTAATTTAGTCAGTTATAGTTGGTGAGATCTCCACATAGAACTTTGTTTTATAGTAGGAATGGACTCATTCTGAGTATTCTGAAATACCCCCTTCAACGTCTGCCACGGCATCTCAATTCATCTGTCTCTTAGCCTAGTGTGCCAGTTCACTTAGCTTTAATGTCCAAATAGTTGCCCTGTTTAAGTTTAAAATGCAAGTCTTAGGCCCATTCTTCCCCCCTTCAAACTGAGAATGAAATGTGCAGTAATGTTACAGCACTCAAAAGGATGCTGCAGGAGGTTTCCAATACACTATTTTAAAAGGGATGTTGCACCATCAGGGCCCTTTTAAAAAATATGATTAGATTGCGTTGAGGCTTTATTTTCTGTGTAAGGAAGGAAACTGAGTTTTGGGGATTACACTGTTTAAAGTTCCCAAGAAAGGATTGAAAGTTGAAGCAGTTTTATTTCATTGATCCAGCCCCCTCCCCCATCCCCTCATTGGTTTTGAACTGGATAAGCTCTTACTGCAGGTATATCACCTATAATTATGATTTAGCAAAACAGAAATGAAAACTTACTTTCTAAGAGAGAGTGCTTAAAACACTTATTCCAAAAAATTGAAACCTTTTTTGTATTTGTCACAACCTCGGGAAGTCCCAAAGCACTTTGTAGCCTCTTTTAAAGTGTAGGCACTGATATGGGAGAAGTAGCAGCCAATTTAACACAGTGAGCTTCAACGCAGTAATGACCATTTAATCCATTTTAATCATGTCGGTGGAGGGATCAATATTGACCAGAACGCCCAACCGGTGCCACGTGATCATTTGTATCCCCCTGAGAAGGAGACAGGTCCTTGTTTTTTGCTGTTCGATAGAAAGCCTATTTCAGGCTTAAATACTCCTCTCAAGTGTGTGAACCCAAGATGTACGTGAAATTTCTTAGCAAAGGAAATTGAAACGAAATAACTGCACAAACATTCTGACCCCTTTAATGATGTCAGGTATGCAGAGCCAGATTGGCATTGAGGGTTGATTAAAAGGTGGCTGCTGGTTTGGGGAGTACTTACTTTAAATTAGATTGAAACTCAATGTCATATGTAAATTATCTGTCATTCCTTTTAAATGTTTTGTGGAGGTGTTCTTTTACTGTTGGTTGTTTGGTTTAGCCTATGGGTGACTGCCAATGTTTATGAAACATTAACCTAGATTTTTCTCATATGATGAGGGCACCACTGGCAAGACCAACATTTGTTGCCCGTCCCTAATTGCCAGTAAACCGTGTGGCTTGCTTAGCCATTTTGGATGGCATCCAGAGTCAATCAAATTGCTGTGGGTCTGGAGTCACATAGAGATTAGACCAGGTAAGGAGGCCAGTTTTTGTCCCCTGAAGGACATTAGTGAGATAGATGATTTGTTGTAAAAACAATGATAGTTTCAGTAATGGTCACTATGAAATTAACTATCAACCATGGATTTTATTAATTTCAATTGAATTCTATCAGCCGTGGCATTTGAACCCATATCCCAGAGCATTAACTCAAGGCTACGGAGTGCTCATCCAGTGACATACCCAGTACTCCACTATGTCCCTGCTACAATTAGATTGTACTGTTCGATTGTATTGTTAGAAGACAAAAACCAGTTTGATCCTTGTGAATGGAAGAAGCAGTTGTCTTTTGCAATGAGCCACGGAAATATCGATGTGAAAGTACCTCAGGAGATTGATCTG